GGGGGGGGGGGTCCAGATTCTGCCCCTCGGAGCGCTGAGCCCGGCACAGCCAGAAGACGGAGACTTGAATGTCCCCGAAGCTCCGTCTCCAATTATTTATAAACGGAGATGGTAACACCAAGTGTGCTGCCACCTGGAGGAGAGCCCCAGGCAGATGAAAGGAGGTCCCCAAAACGTGGGCAAGAATAGAGAGCTCGTCTCGAGCTACGGGGCAGGGAAGGCTGTCTGGTGGTAGGTCACGACCCAAACATTTCAGTCCCCAGCAGGCCACCCGAGTGGTCCACGTGTGGCAGCTAAAATCAAAAGAGTATTCTTTGGTGTGTGTTTTTTAAATTTAAAGAAAATGGGTCTTTCTTTTTTGGACTTTTTTTTCATTCCTTGAAAAGGAAGGAAAATTAAACAAGATGAACTGAAAGTAACCTCCACCGGATTTTCCCTTTCGGATGAGTTTAATGTTTGGGTCTGAGTTTGGCAGGATAGAAATAGAAGTCCCATCATCATTAAGAGCAAATCACCTGGCCCCAAATAAAGCTCCATCTTACGAGGATTTAATTGTGATTTCAAGATGCGCACATTCTGGTTTAGTATTAAACCAGCACAAGCTGACAGGTAGCTCGATATTCCAGCTGAGCGCACCCACCAGGTGAGCGCTGTCAGGATCTCAAACACGCAACTGCTTCATTGAAATGAGGCGTGGGACAGCCTCCCCTCCGGAAAGGAGACCACAGGCCACGGGCCACAGGCAGCTTTTCTTGGCTGCACCGTGGGCTCCCGGGATTCTGTTGTACTAGTGGCGTCTGCACCAGGAGCACCTGTGACGGAGTTCCACCTGGGGACAGGGGTGACGTACGGGATCCCTCCAATACGCACAGGGAGGCCTCCGAAGGGAGACCCGCCACTAGCAAAACGAGGTCTGAAGTTAGCTCGGTGTCGGTAAAAATGAAAGCCAAGCCTCATCCTGAAATTCTCTTCAACAGAAGTTTCCTCCGCACACACCCACCAGCGTGCAGAAGATGCAGCGGCACTGGGCCAGGGTGGTCATCTGCTCCACCGGGTACTCCCCCAGACACAGCTTGCAGGACACCAGCGGGTCCAGGGCCAGGTCCCACGTGGGCCGGTACCACGCCGTGGTCATGGCAGAGCAGTCTGGAAGAGAGAGGACAGCCAGTCAGCCCCCTCAGCCCTCTGTCAGAGCCGAGGGGGGATCACACCTCCTGCCCAGTGGTCCCCAACCCTCAATAACAGCCCGAGCTCTGCTGCCTCCTTACATCCTGGCTGATCCCCTAAAATGTAGCTTCAAGAAGGCTGGGTCTTCAGCAGGTCTGCTCGCTCTGGGCCTGGTGTGTCACAGACACCCAACACCCAGCGGTGGGGGGATCTCCACTCCCATCCTCACGACACCATCTCTGCCACCCCCTACCCACCACAGTCTGTGTTCCCCCGAGAGCGTGTATTGTCTAGAGCTGCTTTTATCACGCAGAGTCCCACTGCATGCTGCTCGGGGGACACAGGGGACACCCTTTCCCACTGCGTGCTGCTCAGGGAACTCGGGGAAGGTGGGCACCCCCAATTCCCAGTCCAGGTCCGAACCACAGAAGCCTCTCAGTGACTGTCGGTTGAAGGAACACATTCCTGCATCTAGAGATAGAAATTCTCACTCTTGAACCTTTACGAGCTTTGTTTAAGCCTTAGGACAGGTACCATGTACCTGCCACAGGTAAGTAAGTGCTTTATGACACCAGCACCCCCTGTTCCCAAGCTCAGAGCGGGGTGAGACTCAGTTCCGACTTCAGATGAAACCCCTGGCCGCCCGGTCCCTGCGTGCCTGCTGTCGGAACCTCGGGATCCACATGGATTCAGGTAACGGGATCTCCTTCCTCCCTAACCTGCTCTCGGACCCGAGGAGCGCAAGGTTTGGATGCGGGAGACCCCCGCCCTCCCTGCTGGCTCTCGAGGCCGTGGGTGGAAGGTCTGCCTCGGCCCACTTCACGCCCACAGCAGAGGGTTGTGTCCATAATGACAGACTCACGACACACAAAGAGAAAACAAAACGTGAGCCAACGGCCAGATGTACTCAGCACAGCACAGCCCTAGGACCTTGGACACGGTTCCCGCTCTGGGTCTTCAGACCCAATCCACGAGCACCCTTTGCCACGCAAAGAGCTCCATGATGCGACTCTGGGGGAACTGTGCCCCGGGCACCTGGCAAAGAGGATCGCCCACCTTCCCCTGAGGGCCCGAGGTCACCCGAGACTGGAAGTGTCCCCCAGGGGACAGCGGCTGCCAACGGGCTTCCCCATGTGAGAGCTCGGGGCGGCTGCTGGCTGTGTCGGAAAGGCCTGGGGTCGGATTCTCACGGCCCCGGGGGCAGGTAAACGGACCACACTCTGGAATCAAGCAGACCTGGGGTCAGCCGCCTGTCCAGCCCCTTGGTGTACGATTTTGGAGAAATGACATAACGTCTACGAATTTCGGTTTCTTCCCTCCTGTGACACCCGGCGCACCCTCACCGCCCACGTACACTCGCTGCCGGGAGTGAGAACAAGCTTAGCATTCCCGGGGCCTCCCACCTGCCTGGAAGCGCGAGCCACTACCTGTCGGGGCCGAGGGCCCGGGCACCGGCGCACACGGGCGAAAGGGGGGGGAACACTGCCGAGCAGAGGAACGCGCTCGTAACTCAGTCTCTGAGGACACTCGAGCTGACGGTCGTCATCTCTGGAAGCAGCAAACGAAGTTTCCAGAGCCTCTGGCTTTATCTCCGCTGTGCAGCGGGTGCCAGGCTGGATGCGGCCCGAGACGGGATTCAGAAGGGCAGAAAGCCAGGGCTCGGCCCTTCCACCCGGAGCCCGTGGAGCCCACGCCCACCGCAAGTCCCACTCACAGACCGGGGCCTGTCGCTGGGGACCGCGTGGGGTCGTGGCTGTCAAGCAGTCACACTCTCCCCAGCTTCTGAGCCGGGCTCCCTTTCCTGTTTACGGCCTCTGCGGAGAAGTGACCCTTAGCACACATCGCGGGCTCGACCCCCCGCTTCCTTTCTTACTGGGCCGCGATTTCCACCTGACCTTGAGACAGTGTGGCTCCCGCTGCCCCGGGCAAGGACTGGCCCTGCCCCTCAGGCCCGGCCGTGACCTTCTCCTGACACGGGCCAGATCCTTCTTCCAGGCACCACCTCAGTGCTCTCTCCTCCAGGGCAGATACTCCGCGAGATGCGCCCAAAGTCACAGCTCGAATGCTGACGACTACAGGACATATTTTACCCCAAAAACGCGTCTATCGTCTGAGCCCATCACGGACCCTCCTACACACAGGATGGGCCGAGCCTGACTTCGTAAACACCGAGCAGCTGCGAACTGGAAACAGGAATTTGCTAAGAGAATCACAATGCACAACGAGAGAAAAAACAGTCTTTGTTTCCCTAATGGGAATGTCAAGTCTTGTGAAACAACAAACTATTTTAAGAACATCTGGTCGGTTCTCAGTGCCATTCAATGCAAGCAAGTCAGGAGGGTTGGAGACCAGCCGCTCGTTCAGCGCGGGCTGGCGTTGCGTGGACACGCAGGCAGACGCGAGAGGGCGAGAGTCCAGCACGGGCTGGAGGGAGGCGGTCCACAGGTTACCACAAGGCAAAGGGGGCCGCTGGGCCAGAACCACCCCGACCCCGGGCTGCGGGCCGTGGACCTCTGGGGGTCCCCCTCCTCCCCGCCTTCACCCCTGCAAAGGAAGCAAAGGACAGGAAAGCAGCTGCCGGCCAGCCACGGCCTCCCTTTGCCCCCCATGACCTCCAAGAAGCCCCTGCTCTCTGGAAGCCAGCCGAGCACCACCCGCGTTCCTTCCCCAGCCAAGCCCCCTTCCCCTTCCTCACCACTCGTCCGAATCCCCCCACGCCCTGCAGCAGTCCCTGGTCTCCCCGCTTCCTCGGAGCCCTCAGCTGTCCCCCGTGTCCAAGTCTCCATGGCCTGTCTGTCCGTGGTTCTCAACGTGTGCTCCCCGAAACTGGAGGATGGGCGAGGCCTGAGGACTTGCTGTACACAGACCTACCAAATCAGAAACTCGGGGAGGGGGGACACAGCCATCCATGTTTGCTCCGGCCTCACGGGGCTTGTCACCCACAGCGACATCTGACAACCACTGATCTACATCCGTATACACACAGCACGTGGTGGCTTCACGTGCATCCGGCATTAGGTTATCACTTTCATACGCTTTTTCATTCATCTGCACGTTAATCTTTTTTTTTTTAAACCCTCACCTGAGGATATTTTTTCATTGCTTTTCAGAGAGAGTGGAAGGGGGAGAAAGAGAGAGAGACGTCCAGGTGAGAGACTCATCGACTGATTGTCTCCCGCACACCTGGGGTGGGGATCGAGCCTGCAACCCAGGTACGTGCCCCTGGCTGGAATCGAACCCGGGACCCATCAGTCCTCGGGCTGACGCTCTAACCACTGAGCCAAACCGGCCAGGGCTGCATTTTAATCTTTGCTATTATACCAGTTTCACAAGTGAGGAAACCGAGGCACAGAGAGGAGGAGGCAGCCTGCTCGGGCCCACAGCGCTGCTGACCAGCCGGCGCGCGGGGGGCAGGCAGGACCTCAGACCCCCCACTGCGTGGGGACGTGATGCCTGCGCCAGCTTCCCAGTCTAAATCTAAAGCTAAATCCACAGTGAATCAAGTCTAAAGTGCCCCCAAATAAAGAGTTTTTTTTAAATTACGGACTTCATTTAAACCTCAACAAGCCTATTGCAACGCAGACTCGACTAGAACAAGTAATATTTTAAGTCAGTGTTTTCCCCAGATGCATTATGAAGTGTAACAGTAAAATATGAGGAATACTGGAGTAAGCAGAGTTGGCCAGGTTTGCGTGTTTATTTTTAACCACCAAGCTCCTTATGCATTTTCATATGCTGATGACACAGAGGTGGTCCAGGAAGGGTGCACGGCACAGCCCAAAGGGTGTCACCAACACAGCCCCACAGCATCGAGGTCCTGGGAGGAG